TTGCGTTGAACAGTTGAGTCCCGCTGGTATGCAACAATGTCTGAAGCTGTATTGTCGAGATTCGAGACAAGGGTTGTGAGATCGATGGCTACCCGGGCAATCTGTTAGTACCTGCCACCGCTGGTGTTCCACGGAAACCATACTTCTCCATGCTGATATCGCATGCTGAAATTTGTTCTCCCCTTCAAAGGTGGGCGCAGGCGCAGGGGCTTCGGTTGTGCTCGCCAGCGCAGCTTCGACGGCTGCGTCAGTCATGGCGTTGTATTGAGTTGGTGATCAGGGGCGGCTCAAAGGAGTGGATATGGCAGCCTTGAACGCCGCGGATGTGTTAAAGCGAGTGTTTTTACAGTTGATCCTGTCGTTCAATGGTCGTAGGAGCTCGTTGCTGTCGTGATTAAATGGAGGCCATGAGGTTGTGCTGATGAATAGGAAGGAATGCCTTTCTTCTCCCTCCTTGATAACTTGGGGCCAGCTTGCGCGTGTCATACAAGCTTATTGGCCACGAGAGCTGTCAGGCTGATAACGCTAAGGTTACAGGGGCAGTTCCATAGATTGATCCCCGCAGCCTTGCAGGTCAGTGAACACAGCCACTAAATAGGTATACACATACTATGTAAGCCCCGGCGTCTCTCCACTCAAGGTCCCGTCAGCTTCTAGAGCTTCAGGTACGTAGATCCACTCGACTGATGTCAACACACACCAGCCAGCCTCGGGTGCCTGGATACAACATTTTCGAATTTCCAGAGGCACTACACGACATGCGCTATTCGCTCAAATGGTGCTGTTGATAACAACGCCGCTATGACATCAGATGGCTCAGGCGATGGGCCTTCAATCACAAGCCCAGGGCTAACCAGTACCAGTCGCGAGGTTGGCCCTTATGTTCTCAGGACTTTATTAGATGAGGTGCCACTATCTGCAGACGGCTCCAAAGATGATATCAAGATCAACTGTGTAGACTATCTAGGTAAGTAGTTTCGGCATTGATTTGAAGGCCTTGCGCTCATGGTTGACCTTTGCGCATGTAGATGCGAATCTGTACGTTGGCACATCTGCCTCCGAACTGCTTCACTTCGTACAAATTCCACCAGACCCGAACGATCCATCCGGGCAACCCGTTTATATCCTCGCATCTCGACTATGTCCTCAATATGTCGAAACTCCAGGCACTCCGAGCTCGCGACCCGGTGTTCAGCAAATCCTCCTACTCCCTCGTGTCGGCAAAGCATGTATCCTTTGCAATTGGACCGTCACTTTCTATTCCCTTCCCGAACTTAGCCCTGTTTTTGGAACAACTCTAGTCAAGAACTGCAGTTGGATAGGCGGCATTGATTTGAATGAGCCCTTGCTCGACGATGGAAGTGCAGAGAGGAGCGGAGGTGTCACTATACTCCTCTCTCTTATGCGAAAGATCCAGGTCGTGCGTGTCGGCGAGGACGCGCGCGCTTTCAAGGTACGTGTCAGCACATGTAATGACTGCCCACTGCTCACGCGATATAGAAGATCGACTTCTCTGGAAGCACCCTGTCAGTCCGTAGGGACTCAATCGCTTGTGTGGCAGACTCTAAGTCGTATGCGCTTATCGATGTGGAACAACAGCTCAAGATCCCCTTGATGAGCATTTCATCCTTGGAAGAAACAACCTCGCCCAGTGAAATTGGACATGCTCAAAGTATTGGAGCGGATACAACAAGTGGGCTGCTCCGAAGCTCCTCTTCTACCGGAAATCGCACGTCTAGCGAAGCCCCAAGCCACAGTCGGAGCACGAGCTTGGGGGGCTCAATATTGGATAGTATCCGTCGACAGGATCACCGTGGCAACGAGGGTGAGGATTTCTTTGGCCGCAACACCTCGCCGCAGCCGTCTATAAGCCCCAGGCCATCGATGGAGAGAGCTTCAACACCAAATCCTCCTTCGCTCGATAAACCTCTCCCAGCTGCCCCTTCACCATCAGGCACACCTTCTCAGTCTACTGACCCTCGACCAAGGCCTGGATCCGTCTTTCTAAAGCCTCACATCACTTCTCCGACTCCTGACGAATTCCTGATTGTTACTGGAACTGACCCCCTGGAGCCGGGAATCGGCATGTTTGTGAATCTGGATGGCGATCCTACGAGGCCTACTCTTGAGTTTACCAGATACCCCAAGGAAGTTGTCGTAGATAGCCCGCCTTTAGAAGTTAACTCATCACAGCCATCTTCAATGCAGGAAGAAGATGGGTATGTTCTGGCCTCGATGACGAGAGAAAAGGACAGCTTGGAATATGGACTAGAGATCCAAAGATTTGACGCGGGCTCAGACCCAAACCCACAGAAATTCTGGTTGACAGCTAGAGAGGCTGATGGAGTCTACGGCATTCGTTCGCTTGCTGGCAGCGAAGAAACGCGATTCGATGAGATTGTTCAGAAGTTGTCGCAAAGGCGATACACTCCTTTCTCTGTTTCAATATCGCCTGGCACCCCTGATCCTTCATCTTCAGCCAAGACACCAGACGCGAGAACAGCGCTGTCAATAGAACACCTCTCGAAAGAGAAGGAACTTTTTGACAGAAACATTGACTCGCAAGACGAAGAATCATTGCCAGAAGAGTGGGAGGCAAATCGCAATGCAGAGGGGGAGGAATTTGCTCGACAACTTGCCAAGGCTCAGGCAAGATTGGCAGTCTGGAGTGGAAGCCGCATCTGGTGGGCTATTCGCAATCCTTTACTTATACAACTTGATGCCGCCTTGGAAGCAGCTTGTGTGGGAGATGTTTTCAGCCCTGCCGAGCTTGACAGACAGGCAATATTCACCACTATCAACTCTATCAGGGGTCGAGAACCGCAAAGCGAGTTGGAATTTATGACTTATGGATATATACGGCAGAAAGCTGGCATCTTGCTTTTGACAAACTTGCTGAAGTCTCCTGAAGATAAGCAGTTCACAGAAAAAGACGTCAAAGCTCTTGAAGAAGTGCTGATTGACAGTGGTCTTGACCCCAGAGTGGTCCTTTCCCTGATTCCCAGCGTTCGAAACGAGATAATAGAAGGCTCACGTGGGATCTGGATATATGGCGGCGTCAGAAGAACCGCCGATGCTTACCTCAGAAGCAGGGAGTTTCAGATGACATCTAAGGACAGTATTGGGACACTGGAGCCGAGGACGATGCACTTTCTTCGAAGATTTCTTGGAACATGGCGCAAGAAGAAAGGTTTCGGCAGTGTGGCCGACGAGAGAGAGGTGTTTCACACAGTTGATGCGGCGCTGCTGCTCGTGCTTCTCGAGATTGACCAACACTCACCTAAGGGGTTGGGCAAGGGAGGCGTCGTGAGATCTGAGCTATACGAGATTGTGGATAAGGGCGTTGACTGCTTTGACCGCGCAGTAGATTTACTCGAAACATACCATCGACTCTTCGTGTTAAGTCGCCTGTACCAGAGCCGGAAACTTTCAGGAGATGTTCTGGCCACTTGGAGGCGGATTATCGAAGGCCAGCAGGACGTAGGACAGGAGCTCCGCGAAGGAGAACAGCGAGTTCGTGAGTATCTGACCAAGATCGGCAGCCAGGCCCTTGTCCAAGAATATGGTGTGTGGCTTGCAAATCGCAATCCAAAGCTTGGTGTCCAAGTTTTTACTGAAGACAAGGGACGAGCACCCAAATTTGAGCCAGCGCAAGCCGTTGCAATCTTACGAGAGGAGGCACCTGACGCAGTTAAGTATTATCTCGAACATTTGGTTTTTGGCAAAGGCCATACCACGTATATCAACGACCTGATGGCGTACTACCTTGACGTGGTTGTTCATGATCTGGAGTCATCTGAGGAGAGCCGAACTTTGGTCAGAGCGACATATGAGGCATACCGCGCTTTACAGCCTCCTAAGCCTGCATACAGTCACTTCCTTCGGGACAACGCGCCGGACGACAACGAGGTCTGGCACAGCCGTCTGAGGCTACTTCAACTCTTAGGCGAAGCCAATGATTATGATGCAGTAGCAATAAGAGATCGAATCTCGAGACTGCCAGATGATCTTTTGGTGCCCGAGACCATCATACTTGCTGGCCGAGAATGCAAACACGACGATGCCCTCCGCCTTCTGGTCCACAACCTGGGCGACTATGACACCGCAGTGTCATATTGCCTTCGAGGCGGTGCGAGCACAACAGGTGCTGCTCCCTCCCAACGGCCATCATTTGAGGAACAACGTCGCCTGTTTAACGTCGTCCTCCATGAGTTGCTCGCTCTTGAAAACATCAGCGATCGTGTGGAGCAGACTGGAGCGCTCCTGGAGCGGTTTGGCGGCTGGTTCGAGATTGACGACGTACTCAGTCTTATCCCTGATGATTGGTCTGTCGACATTATTGCAGGCTTCTTAGTTGGGGCACTTAAGCGTCTTGTGGGAGAGCGGCACGAAGCGATGCTGACCCGTGCCCTGAGCGGAGCGCAAAACTTGCGCGTAAGCTACGATCGCGTTGCCAAGATTGATGAAAAAGGGCCGAGCATTGAAGCATCGAACTAATATGTCCCCAGCCGAGTAAGCTTCGCTGTTTCATTATATAAAGAGGGGGGGTCCATAGCAAGCGTATGTGCGGAGAATACATACATCGTAATTCAGGGATTGCCTGTTTATTCTTGATATCGTGATCATATGCATCTAATACATTTGTATCTTCGTACAGTTTTTACTTTTCCTCGCCTGGCATGACTTGTCCACCCCTCTAACCAGTCATCATCCAACTGTCCTGTTTGTTTTTACAGCCGGAGAGCTACCATCTTATTCCGTATCCGTCCCTCACGAAGTCGTTGCTCCGCCTCATTCTGCGGGCGGGAGTCGAGTCCTCTCAGCAAGGTGAGCCAATCAATGAGACAGAGAAGACGCAACTAGAACAAGTGTCTTGCTCCGCCACGATGAGTTCAAGTGTTTCCTAGAGTCCGAGCGTGAGATGGTCGTGATGCTTAAAGCTTCTTCTTTTCCTTCTGGCTCAGTGAATTTGCCAGGCTCCTCAAAGTCTCATATTAGTCTCATGAGGTTGAAATCCACTTCAGCGAAGCGACGACGAGCCACCTCTTGCGCACCGTAACATCGTCCTCACGTTCAGTATCCCATGGCCTCTCCTCGCCGTTACAATCTCTCTCCCAGATCCTATCAACCTCGAGTCCGACCTTCTGAAGCGCCGCTGCATCATAAAACCCGCTCATCTTTGTTCGGCCAGTATGGAAACCAGCGACAACCCAACACCTAGCCTCAGGGGTTTGCTTGAGAAAGTGGGCGATGGAGCGGTGAAGGTTCTGGTGTTGCCAAGGCATCCAGAGACAATCGGCGGCAATGACACGGTCGAACGAGTGAGCAGCTGATGTGCTGAAAGTGTCATCGAGCTCACCCCAGGAATGGCCCTGGACGGAGACTGCAGAGGAGGGAGTTGCCTCAGCACCAGCGGGTGATAGAGAGGGTTGGATGTTGCGAGCGACGTTGGTGCGAAGGGTTTTGAGGACGGGCTCAGCTGGATAGTCTGTGACAACGACACGCTTTGCGCCTAGCAGGCCACCCATGATACTCGGTAACGCGGTTCCAGCTCCGAGCTCAAGAGTCTCCAACCCCTTCACGTTGAATGAAATGCTATCCTGTGCCTCACGAGGGTTCTCAAGAGGAATGCTGAGAGAGTCGGCCTCGATAAACTCTGCGAGCAGGAGTGAAGCATTCCAGAGGTAATGCGAGAACAGCTTGCGGTCATCCTCCTTTACAGGGTCGGCGAGGTCGATAACAAGGGGCTTGGGGAGATGGGGTGAGGCATATGAGAGGTTGTGTTCCGCATCGCCATGTTGATTCGTGATATCGTCGGGGAAGATGACGCCCAAGGCAGTTGAGAGATAGTCTTCAGGGCTATCAGCCTCCCCGTTGACTGAGATACGCCAGGTAAGAGACATGGCCTTATTAAATTGGATCCCCTCGAATATAATATCAATTTGAAGGATTTTTGCCCAATCTGCTCCGATGATCTGACTCGATTTGCTTATAAGATCACTCTGACAGTACTCCCATATGGCGTATTGTACAGCAGATATTGAGCAGCTCAGACAGACAAAAATAAGAATATGGCTACGGGAATGTACAGATAAAGATTTGTCAGAATAAGGATGAGTTGAGTAAAGCTAACGTAGCCAGGCGTGGACGGTCGTGGGGCAAGGGCAATAAGAAAATTTGCTTAAGTCCGCACCGCTTTTTCAGAGACTAAGGTAGGATAAGATGTACGGATACGTAGCATCCAGACGACTCATATTGCGCAATGGCAAATACGATATATAAACTGCTCATAACGTTGCGGTGCACATTACCTCCATACCATACTTAGTCGCCTTCGTTACCCCAAGTTGGAGTTACACAGAGTTGGAGTTGTCAGAACACGAAAAGGCAGCCGATCCCTCTGACATCTTATAAGAGTCGATGACACCAATAACAGATCCATATGTTCCAGCGACCATCAGGAATGTTCCAGAAAGAATAACAAAACTACTCCATACAACCATAAGAACCCACTTTAGGGATTTCTCCTGCTTGCCTGCGCTCCAGTTGTCGTATAACCAGAAGCAACCATATGGCTGAAATGTTTGCAGTGTACCTAGGAGAGCTCCAACAAGAGACACGAGACTTCCAAAGACAGGAATCGCACTCGCTATTATGTAGGCTAGCAAGGCCGCAGAAAAGGTCAGGCCTAGCCACGTAGCCCAGTGAGTGAGGGTGTTGGCTGTGAGATGTCTTGAGCCTCGAAGGACTCGAACGAAGACGTATTTTCCTGTGACCTATAGAGATTTTGTATCAGTACTCATTTTGTTTCAAGGCTGAAATTTTCATCATATCAAGTACTTACATGAGCATTGATGGTTGCACCAACAATCAGACCTGGCAAAGCAAGGCCGTAAGCAACTTGCTTAATAGTCTTGCCAGCCGAACCCAGAGCAGGCGAGGCAACATAGGAGCCACAGTAGTAGTAGATGGTAACTCCCACAATGATATATGTCGCTGTCGCAACGGACTGGCAGAGCAGCATCGCTTTGGTATAATGGCGAGGGTCGCGCATCTCTGCAGTAATGGGGAAAAACAGGGGTGTGCCAGCATAGGCAAAGACCATCGTCGAGAGAGCCGACATTGCTTCTGTGAAGCTCGGCTTTCCATATAGCTGGTAGTCGGACTTCCATTCGTGTTGGAGATTTATCTTTGGAGCTGCTGAGGGCCGGTCTTGGATGCTGACGGCGATGGTAACGACATAGACTAATTCCGTCAGTATGAATGACAACTTTGAGTGGTATTCAACGTACCGCCTGCCAGGAGAGAGATTACTCCCACCCATGCAAGCCAACTTATGCGACCCAGGGTGCGGATGCTAGCACATAGAAAGACGATTATTGCGGCCACTGTGACAAAAGTAGCTGTGCATGTCCCATGCGTCGACAAAGCATTGAAACTGATAGAGATGCCCAATATTCCCGATGCAGAAGCAAAAATGGTAACTTGTACAGTCATGGTCAGCAGTGAGCTCAACTCGGGGCGTTATCACCTACACAAAGAAAAGCTGATCCCAAGGAACTCTTGTCCGAAACGTCCAAACAAGATACCGCCTGCATCGTCAATACCGTATACCTCACGGTGGTTAAGCTTGAATGTCCCAATAATGTAGTCAGACCAAGTGGTGATGCCTCCAATGACGAGCAGACAAATGAGGCCGGGGACGAGACCCAGAGTGTGGAACGCCGATGGGATCGAGAGGATACCCAGCCCGATTTGGGTCTTCATCATGAGTGCAGAAGTGCCTAGCCAGCCAACCTGTTGGCGTTAGTATTCGAGACTGCATGCATGAAACCTGTGGAAAGCTCTGACATCTCGGTAGTTGGGTCCATCTTCTGTGATATCGCCAAAGACCTCGTCGTGAGCTACGGTTGGGCGAGCGTTGTCTTGATTCAGACCTTCTTGTGAAAGAATTGGCGCTGGATCAAAAGTCCCAGGCTCTCGGTTGTTGGCGTGCACGATGCCCATGTTGCTCTTTTATCCAGAAGAAAATAAGAAGAATGGAAGGTTGCCAAGATCAGAATGATAGTTGACAGTATATATCCTTTCAATATCTGTCTCCCCTCACGTATTCGGCCCGCCAGAACTCTACTCTGAGGACACTGGATGCTCATTGCCCCTCTCTAAGCTTTCTCGATGCTCATATGGCATTTCGCGTTTCTATGATCAAGTGGTTTTATCGTATCAGAGTATCTCTCTCATTTTGAGTGTCCAGCTCAAGCATTCATATCTCTGCTGAGCCTGTCAGGGCGAAATGTAGAAAGTACTATTTCTGAGTGAATCCATTCTCACGCGCCCCTTTGTTGCTCAAGATTGGCCAGTTTCCTAAATCTTATTGCTTCGTCGTGAGGGGGCGACGGCATAAAGTTCATGGCTGTATCGTAATGATGTACTCGTATTATCTCAACAGGCCCACTGGTTCTTTAGCATCTTCGTGCTCCGTATAGTGTTTGGGTGTTCGTTTCTACCTATCAAAGCATGCAATGAAAGGTCATGCGTCTTAATTATAGTCTGCAATAGAAATCTTAGATAATTTTGGGGCTTGCTGATCCTACCTAAGTTTTGATCACCTTATTAAGAGTTTTTTCCCCCCCACGTCTTACTGATTCATCTGAGGCATCAAGCTATTTTACACCCTAAGCCAAGTTACCATGCCGAGCAAGATGCAATCTATGAAGCAAGGCGTTCGTGCTTGACGAGGGGCAGTAAGAAAAAGAAATGATATGTTCTAGCGGAACTCTTCCTGTCAACTGTCTCAGGTAGTTATGGATCACCATAGGTCTAGTAAGATGTCATATCGGGGTATGAATAGGTGGCATTATCATATTAGTGCTCATATTATACATCCTTGTTTCAGCTATAATGGCATCAAGAACTCCCATGTCATAAAACATACACGCAAGCCCATTCCAGTCCAAATATTTGTACAGTAACTTCAGCAGACACTCAAAGTAAACACCAATCACCAGAAACAAACAGTACTTGAACAATATGCAGATTAGGACAGAGTCCTCAAATGAGTATTGCTGTCAAGATAGTCCATTATTGTCATTAAGCCATCAATGGGTGAGGTACCAGTCCAAATCCCAGATAAAACAACAGTAAAAACATGGGTATCGATATGTCAACTCCATGGCGCAAATCAGTTCCCTTGCCGTTCCTTTCCTTTGCCTCGAAACTTTCATCCTATGCCTCTTCATAAGCGGATGTGTCCTGTTTCCCAAATCCAAACCTAAACCCAGTCATAAATATTGTCCGTGAAGTACTCAGATGTTCCCTTTTTCTAATACAGTCCCGCTTACGCCGCATTATGCTTTTTTTCAACATGTTTTTGTTCGTATACTTTGAGAGAGAGGTGGTAGTTGGTGATCGTAGGTGTGTGTGGTCGATGATGCCGAGTCGTTATAGAGTAGTGGTGGTGGTGGTGTTGGCGGTGAGCATTTGCTGCATCTCCTTGAGCTGCTCAGCAGTGGGGTCGTCGGAGATCCAAGGACCCTTCTCTTCCTCAGTAGCACCGTGGAAGCCAGCAGCTCGCTTGAGAGTCTGGACGTCGAGGTCGGTGACATAAGACTTGCCATCAGATAGCTTCAGACGGACCTCATGGTCGGTGGAGAGCATCATGTCGTCCTTGGCAAGACGACGAGGACCATCAAAGACAGCCATGACACGCTTCTTCATGGTCATCTGACCCTTATCAAAGCCCCACGACGATGGGTAGTCGCGACGGTTCTTGCGGCTGCGAGTCTTGGTTCCCAAGGGGACACCACCGCGGGAGTGAGTGACACCGCGAGACTTCTGGACACCGTTGGCCGGATTGCCCTTCTTTCTGGTGGCAGGGGAGGAGTTGCTTCGGGGAGAGCTGTCATCATCGTCATCCCCACTGTCGGCATCTTCATCACCATGGTTTGCCATGACAGTATCTGTGGTAGTGGGGAGGTTGTTCTTCTCCAGGGTCTGGTGAACATCCTTATCATTCTCAACCTCAGCAAGGCGCTTGGCGTTGATGGCCTCAGCAGGGTCCTCTTGCTGGACAATGCGCAGCACACAGTCGTCAAGGTGCTCGTAGAAGTCCTGGGCATTGGAGAAGGTCTGTGAGCAAGTGCTGCACTTGCCAGTGGCATCAGGAGCATAGCCAGTCAGCTTCTTGTTCGAGTTGGCACCTGCAGAAGACTTCTTTCGGCTGTTGGGTGGAGTCTGCTCAACGCCATGGACTGCAGTCAAGTGGCGCTTGAAGACGTCGGCACGGTTAAAGGACTTCTCCGCGGCCGAGCCGGAGCCTGGGCAGAAGCCGCAGACCATTGTGCCTTTGTAGTGTGTGAGAGTGTGACGGTTCTTGTCATACTTTCGAGCAAAGCCCTTTGTGTGGTACTCGCAGGTCTGAATGGGGCACTTCTCAGGCCGCTCAGTCTGGTGAGTGAGCATGTGAGCCTTGAGGTCCTTGAAGGTCTTGCCGCAGTCGGGATAGGTGCATCTCTGCTTCTCCTTGGACTCGTCACTGCTATACTCGCCTGGTGTAGGTGGAACGAAATGGGTGACGCTTGGGGCACGGATATGGTTGTGGTTCTGAGTTTGACTGTGGTTATCCATTGGTGCACCGTAGGGGCTGCTGGGAAAAGTGGATTGAAAGGTTGTGGTTTGGAGAAAGGGTGAAGAGCTATTGGTCCTCATCATGTGAGGTTGAGGCGAAGAGGAAGAGGCAGAAGGAGAAGTGGGATATGTGTGATTAGGATTGGCACCGGTTTGCTGGAAGTGATTGTCATAGGGAGGGATCCCCATGGGAGGGCGAGTAAGCTCTGGATGAATCAGAGATGGGTCTGTCATGATAGAGAAACCTGGTTAGCGATCTACTACGGTAACAGTACAG